TGGTTTTGTGTTTTCGTCTCTAACCCATGATTTTCCACGTCTCCTCAAGTTTCCTCTCAATATTCACTTCAAGTTATGCCATTTTATTCTATTTATTAAATATCAATTCTTAATACAGCCAAATACTCCAAATACTGAAAGCATACAATAAAAATAATAATACCAGGCAGCACAATGCAGGAGAAACCATATACACAATAAAAACACTGACGGCCCCTGAAATCAGAAACACTCTCAATAGAAGCCATATGACCCCTAGAATCCAATACACTAAACTAGCTACTACAATTTGCAATTCAGGCTGAAAATAATTTATGACAGGCATTTTAAAAGACCATAAACAATTCTATATGTGCACAACATTTGCACAGTACTGATGATAGCTAATTTCATGACAACAATCAAAAACAGAACACTAAATGAACTGCAATGGCACTGCACGCAAACAGCAGCATGGTCCCAACATCAGCTCATTGTCCAGCACAAAAACAACTAACTAATCCCAATCCAACAGTCACAAAACCACAAACAAACATCTCCGATAACCCACCGGAGACCAGAGGCACTCCCACAGACACAAAACACCCCAAATCCAACCGAAACATCCACACTCAGACAACTGCACCTTGCCAACCCACAGCACACGTCAACAGATCACACCCAAAAGAACAGATCGACAGTGTCACAGCGCCTCCAGTGTCTTCAATGCCAAAATACCAAATATGGAAACAATATCACATGACATCATTTAACAGATAAAACAAGGGTCGTCACACAATAATGTAAATTTTACCAGTACAAGATACCGTAGAGCGGGTATTCTATTGTCTCCGTTTCTGCTATAGTAGCTTGCAATAATGTAAATTTTACCAGTACAAGATATCGTAGAACAAGCAACATAACGTAGTGCCAATTGATCAAACTGCAGAACTTGCTTGCGTTCTGACTACGGCAGTAGGCTATAGTGGACTCCGTGATTTACGGGTACTCAGCAAGTTTCTTAGTTTGGGGAGCTTGGGTGAATTGTGTTATTCGGGGTCGTTTTACGATAACTTGAGAATGAGAATTGAAGTTCTTCCCAATGTGTTTAATCTATATCTAAAGTTTAGGCAGAGCATTCCACAATTTTAAGTGAAATAAAACTTTGAAACTATGTATAAAACCCTGTTTAAAACTTAATGCAACTGAATAGAAAAACTGCTTATGAGTATCCGGTATAATTTATATCGTTATGTGTTCATTGAAGTTAAACCATTGCTGATCATTCATCATTGCTAAAGAAACAATTAAGTCGATGTGAAAAACATTTATTACTGAGATTCAATAGTAATAACCTAACAGATCTTTACTGATATTAAAAAGTATTGAGTTCGCGAACGCATTTCTGGCATTAACCAAACCAGAATAATTGTACATTACATCTTGCAAACCACTGTCTTAAAGCGTCAGCAGGCTTTTTTTCTCCGTGACAATTAAAAAATGAAAAGATGATAACATAAATTTGGCTCCCAGAACATTGCCATTGGCAAGAAGCGCGATTCCGTTTCGTTCTTAACATTCAAATGTCGTTTACTAGCGTTATATCTGACACCGACAACGTTATATATATGTAATAGGCCTAGATGATATATATATAGAAATTTTGAAATCGAGTTAGAGCCTACTGTAGCTCTTGAGCCATAATCAGAGTCAAAAATGGACAGCCACTACCCGCATGCTTCATCAAAACTTTCTAGTCTATTTTCGATTTATGTCAATTTCCGAAAAGAAGTTTTACTCTCATGTCGTTACAGTTGTCATTGTTAGGCATAAAATTTTACCCATATATGGTACCTACAAACTGCATTTCCAATTCGTGGAGTGTTTTTAGGCTGCATTCTCATTAAAACAGTGAATTCATCACAATAGGCAACTATTAGGCTAATGCTAATAGTACGATATAGTTTAATTCGCCCGCAACAGGTGTGGAAAAGATAGATTTTCACAATTGTTTCTAGGTATCTCCAATCTGCACAACACCCATACCTTATTCTGGCAATCCTATCAACTTACCAGATTGGATGATAGTCTCTTACAACGGTGAGCACCGCATGCGGCTCGCAAGATTTTTTGTGTGGATCTTCTTGCTAACATAAATTATTATCCAAATTCTAACTAAGAGAAACTGTAATGTAAAATTTTTCAATTTATTAAAAGTTGTAAAGAAGTTTTCATCAATGATTATAACAAATTATGTTTTGGTATGGAAATCGTTGTAGCGTGGAATTTTGAATCTATGTCAGCCAAGCGACAAAACTCACGTCACAATGGTCAATTTTTATTGATGCGTTGGCGGTATTGCAGCTTGATTGCGGTTAGTTAGTCTCATTTACTGTGCGATATGTCCTCAATTAAAAAACGAAAGTACGAAGATGAGAACAGAGTTATCAAGTCAGAATGGGAAGAAGAATACGCATTTACCAGTCAGGAGAACAAACTTTTGTGCTTAATCTGTCATAAGCTACTAGGTCAAAATAAAGTCAGCAATGTTAAACGGCACCATGAAACGAATCATGAAAACTTGTTACGAAACACAAATTAAAGGAGCTCAAATTGTTACTAAAAAGACAGCAGAAATTTATGTTATCATTTGGCAAGGAATCTGATACAGCAACTGAAGCTAGTTTTGTTATAGCATGGAATATTGCTCGCACTAAACACCCATACTCTGACTCCGATTTTGTGAAAAAAAATATTGCTGATGTCGCAGTCTTGTATCCCAACAACACAAAGCTTCAGCGACTATTAGCCCAACCGCCGGTTTCGCGCCGTAGCCTACTAGAGTCTACTTGTGGCGCTGATATAAAAACGCACTCGACATAGCCTCAGCAAAAACTCATGTTCCCCTTAAAAAGATGGTTGATGGGCAAGAATGCTGGATTAATTGGACTTATGAAGAAGGATCCAGACTTCCCAGAGTCTCTTCTGGTACATTGCATTATTCTTCGTGAACATCTGGTATCTAAATACTTCTACTACAAAGCCGTTATGAAAACTTTCCTTGAAATTATACACTTCATTTGCTTATCTGAAAAACCCACGGACAGTTTCGTAATTTTATTGATGATTTGGAGTTGGAATAGATTCGCCGAGAGATGTCTTTTTGTGTTGTAGTGTGAGATGGTTGTATCTAGCAACGTATTGGAAAAGTTTGTTGATTTGTTGGAGCCGATAACAGCGTTTCTTAAAGAAAATGCAACCCACAGCTGGAAAATGATGAATAGCTGCAAGATCTAATGTTTTTCACTTATATAATGGGACATTTGAAAACTCTCAACCTGGCACTTCAGGACAATGAAAATATTATTTCTGATCTTGCTTAAACGGTTTTCAGTTTCCAAAACAAAATCAAAGTTTTTCAAAGAGACTTGATGGCAAGAATATTCAGTCATTTTCCGAATTTAAAAAAAAATGCTGGCTGCATGTTCTGAGACCGTAGTAAAAGAAACCAAGCTGGATGAACTAATTGAACTGCAAGAAGATCTGGCTCTCGCGAGTTATTTTCATAAAAGCGATTGCGCAATTGATTTCTGGAAAAAGTACCCTGAAGTTAATTGGCGTGTGTACGGCTCCTTTTTATTTTTAGCAAAAATACTGCTGGGAGTCGTTATTCTCAGAAATGAACTTTATAAAATGAAAATTTCGTGCCAGTTCACCAAATGAACATGGGACAGAATTGGTTCGTACCGCATTGACTACATATCGCACAGACTTTCAAAAACTTACATAAATGATGGAAACACACAAGTCTTCTGATATGACCTTGTAATAAATACTCTATTCTATAACATTATTGGACACTTAGTGGACCTATGGATCGTTTTGCATTTTTTGGACACCTAGTAAAAAACCTCGAAAATCTTTTTTTCTTTTTGATTACTGGGCCAATTGCTTTAAAATTGTCAGTGGTTGAAGATGGATTTTTTCTCCAAGGCTTTTACTTTTATTTATTTCAAATATTTCTGTTAGCTTTGTGGGATTCGTTTTCTGTCCGCTATGACATCACCAAATGTTCTGCGGACGCACATCACCTGATTCGGCGCTCGGCGTTTTCCGGTGGATCTGATGTTTAGCGACGTGGACTGTGGGCCTGATCTGGGAATATAGAAGTGGCCCGGATACTAGGAAGTTACCGCATATGATTTTCGGAAATTGGCGAAATTATCTGCATGTCCATATATTTGAACATAGTTCTCTTGTTTATTTATTGTTATTAAACTCGTGTGTAAATTTCTTTAATGTTCATGGTATTCTAATAAAAATAAATTCACAAATTCTGCGGCTCTTTTAAAGTTCTGACTTGCAGCATGCGGCTCTTATACTAAAAAATTGGGCCCACCCCTGGTCTATTACCTCAACGAATGCTTTTTATAACTATGTTAATGTGACGGATGCTTTATATAAACAACATGATGTTTAATTCCTAAATAACGTCATGATATACACTGTTGCGGTTTAGTGTGGTGCATACAAGTCTGTAACTGCAAAAATTCCAAGTTTTTAAAAAAAAAGGATTCAAGCTTTCTATCATACTTGGAATGGCGCAAAAATCAGACAAGTATTTTCTTGTTTATTTGGTATAGCATTGGCGTACAAAAATATATTTCATCATTATATACTTAAGTTAAGTATTATAAATATATATAGAGAGGCTACATAGTTCAAATATTTTTTACCTGCTCGCCCATGTCCGAAATATTCTGCTCGTTTGTCTAATGAGTTTTCTATGATACCAATTCTCTCGTGTTAGTAAATTTTATTTCGAGATTTTTATTCAATTCCGTCGTATAGTATCCTGGACATACATTGAAGTTCCGTAGAGTTTACCGTTATTAAACAGAATTTCTGAACGACTGATCATAAATCTGCTCTACTTTCTGTTGTTTTTTATTTAATCTTCAACGAAGGATCAAAAACTAGCCTATAGCATTCCTACATAAGTGAGATACGAACAGAACAAATAAACGATGTGATGTATTTACTGCTAAAATTATAGGTAATAAAATAAAAATAACAGACATGGCAAATATAAAAAATTTGCGTGAGTAATAAAGAGTTTATGATCAAGGAAGTTAAAATAAAAAGCAATATAAATATAACTGGAGAAATAAGAAAACAATGTAACATGGTTTTTGTCAGAACTTGTGAAAAGCACGGTAAACAATTGCTCCTAACGTTCATTGAACGAAACTCCATTCTTGGAAACTACCAAATCAAAAAAGGCGAGAATCAACTAAGAGTCCAAGTTCATATGACTCTACTTTTATTCTATAACAATCAATATGCGTCATCTGACATAGAGCAATTAAGATATCAACAATTATGACAGTTTAATTTTGAAACTCTTGGTAAATTAAATATTAGAAATTTTCTACGATAACATCAGCTGGAACAATGTATCAAAGCCTTGAACATATTTAAAGCCTTGTTCGAATTATCATAAGAACTTTGAGAAATTTGCATGCGCATAAGTTTATCTTGAATATATAGAAGTCCATAGTAATTGGTGCAATCACGTCGATCATTATAACTTCTAAACGTGTGGTATCGTTTCGAACATTCATGTTACTGGTTCTTTGTCTTAGTTCGATCACATATTAAAAGTTTTTAATGTTATAAATAAAGAGTAAGATGAAATGAAGCAAACATGATTAGAAAAAGCGTGTTGAATGAATGTTATCCGTATATCATTAAAGTCCCATGTCGTTTGAAGATGCGGGCATATTTTGTTGTTTTCTAAAACACTTCCCAAACGTTATCATACTTTTCCAGTCTTTAAAACTTCTTATTATTAATACTAAATTAAAAATTATGTTAACATCGTATAATAGAGCTCTCAGTTGTCGATATTGAGATCCAACCAACTTATATTCAGTCACGAGCATACATGCTATATCTGTTATCACACACAGGCTAGCAATGATCACACAACGCTGCACTAGCGCCATTATGCGGCCACGGCTCGTAGCTGCTGTTCCATTTGTTTTGATAGGTTCTGGTTTGCCGCTTTGTTTTAGTGGAGTATTGAAAGCGTATTGTTGTAGTAAGGGAAATGCAAAGAGAAATACTAGAATAACTTGAAGAGATACGCTTCCAGCTGTCCATAAATGTGTGATTGCACTGTCTGCCGGATGCTCAAATTGTTCACATGTCTGGGTCGTGTTGTCGAAATAATGTCGCCGACAAATTATAAGTAAACCTGCAAAATAAAAATAAAATTCAATAAACATGAGATGCTCAAATTTATGGACACGAAAGCCAAAAAAGTATGGTTATGAAATCTGTCACAGTTTGCCACTCGACTGAACACCAGAACTAACGCAAACACTAGCCGTGACATGGTGAGCAATTTTAAAGGCGTCATCGCATACAAAAAAAAGCTTTCATGAAACCCACAGCATTTTTGAAATAAATAAAAGTAATATCTTTCTAGCGTAAAATACAATCTTCAACCACTGAAAATTTCGAAACAATTGGTCTAGTAATTAAAGAGAAAAAGCGTAACAACAAGGAGTAGAGAATGACCAACAAGACCAGCAGCATAAAAACAAAATGATACGGATGTACATTCCGTGTCCAATATTTATGAGTTTACGAATCGAAAAGACAGTTTCTTCAGAAGAGCTTGGCTTGTGATTTATAAACTACTCATGATGTGTGCGGAAGTACGATTCTATGTAAGCGAGCGGGTGTTGGTTCTCAACTAACGTATGGGTATCTCAGTTGACCAGATCATTCCAGTTACCAGATCATCACGTGACCTAAGACGCAATAAAAATAAAGTAGATATGGTACATACATAGGTCGATAAAATATGCTTCCTATCAAGACGAGACCAAAATCGATAAGAACGTATTTATCATGGATTTTATCTTGTATGTTTTTACATATAGCGTCTGTATAATATATTTAGCTATTATAAACTTGCCATATAGAATATTATATGCCGTTTTTTGATTATTTTTTATCCTCTTGAGCTGCATAAATGGGAAAAAGCAACGGTATGGATTAACATTTAAAATTAGACTTGGACAGGAAATATCGTGCTTGTTTTACATTACATCAGAAATACAATTCATCTAAATAATACATTATTTATTCAGTCCTGTCCATATTTAGACAATTATATGTTTCTCCGGTAAGAATAATACATCACATGCTTTGAAAGGTTATATGACATTATCTCTTTGTAAGAGATTTACCTATTTGATCCTACTCCTATATAGCAGCGTTAAAAGCTTGTCATTGTAAGCGTAACCATACGGAATTAGAACTAAAGTATTTGGCCCAATTTTCCTTTTCTATAAAACCTACGCATTTTCAACAAAATATCTCACAAAAATATGCAAATTATTCAAAGCAGATCCAATTTTGGAACGATATTTATGAAAGAAAATAACACGATAAAATTTTGACAAGTCGGTGCGAATTGAAACGCTTTTAAAAGTCAATGAATAAAATATAACTATGCTTTTTCTTGGTTATACGATTTTCTACACCATCCGGCCTTTTTCTGTAGGTTTCATTGCGCTACCTATATTGAAATCTCGGCCCAGAAGTCGCAGCTGTAGCCCCTCGTTATTTCAGTGCTCAAGGCCAAGCACCATATTCCGAGGCGTAACAAAATAGAGCTATATATATGTTGAATCACGGAGAGTCTGGTCGTTTCCAATGTTTTAATGTATCTCTCCGATAAGGGTCTGCTTTTTCTAATCGTTGTTCGAAGCAATTGTAGCGCAAAAGTTTACGGAAAATATCTTCTTTAATTGTATTTTCAATATATAACTATAATATATACTTACAATCCATAACAGCAGCTAGCAATATGATGAGAATAAGAACCGACCATTTGATGATGGTAAGGAATATAAACAAAACTCTGTTTCGTACTAAAAATCTTCGGCAAGTAACATATTGTCGAATCCATAAGAAAATGTACACAACAGTGTCGAGTCCAATCAGAAGTGAAACTATAAATAGAAATATATTAGACTTCAGTATTAGTTATTTCTCATTTGCTTTAATTGTCAAACTCGGGATAGCATAAAGCAAAAAAACATAAATTTTTGTATACCCGTACGTGTTTAGTCGTTAATTTGCTTTGTGATTGGGTTGTGCGTGTGACAAATATGTGACTTTGGTCAAGATATAAATGTACATGATTGATACATAAATTGATTACGCAATTTCATGTTTGATTTTTATGCTTATATAGGAGTTTTTAGACTTTACCTTTTTTTTGAAAAAAAAAAACTGACATTTAAATCATTTTTCAATGTTTATTAGAACAGAAAATGGCTTTGTAAATGTTTAATTTTATTCTAGATTCACGGGGCAAATTGCAGACTCGCACATAACACCGATGACTTTTCATTTATTAATGAGCCTTAATCCTTTCGAGTGCATCACAACACTTTGGGCTTCACTATTTACACCTATAGAATTCAATAACATACATTGGTATAGGTATGGGCCAGACTACTATCATGTTTTTACTCCTCGATTCATTCACCGTACGTTTCCAAATCAACAGTTTGACCAATTGGGCAGTAGGTTAATAATTTCAAGTGTCGCTACTCAAAGGCAGGATGCATAGTATTCTAGCACTTTCTTTTTCTGAGTACCGGACTATTTGTTATTTAACATATTGTTCCAGTGTTCGCAAATGGCGTACTATTATATATGGGAAATAATATCATTCGATAGAAATTACTATTCCGACAAATTTTGCCTTCAGATTAAAAAGCAATTAAATTTTCAATAAATTGTTGATACGGGTTTAAAATAATAATGGATTTATTTTCCCAAAATGCAATATCTCCATTTAATTATTATAAAGGTTCAAGCACATAATAACAACATTATAATGAATACTTCAAACCACTTGGTATTTACTATGTATGATTTTCTCATTATTCTTTTAATCTCACAGAAGCAAATTTTTGCCATAATCAAATATAAATTCCAATACATATTCATGAGGTTTCCACCTAACGAGCACATTTATCTAAACGAATAAATCAATATTGGCGAGACATAAAATTGAATGAATTGTCATTCTCTCATTTTCCAGATAGTAATTATATTATATATATATATATTGATTGCTTTAAAAGTTTTTATTCTAACATTACCGTATTTTTATCACTCTTTATGTCTCTAAAACTAAACATGTCTTGTTTGCATGTCTTGCTAACACATAAATAATAATTCACATGTGACAGCTCAGTTTGAAGACTTCAGTCTTGTTAGTGCATTCATGCACCAAGGGGATTTCCGAATTACAAACGAAAAATATATCAAATAGAATGAGTTAATTACCTCCAATTATTTGCATTGCTGTACATCCAAAATCTGTATTATAATCAAGGTTGTAGAAAATTAAATCGTTGAGACAAGTTAAAAAGCAGAACACCGATCCAGCAATACACAGATATCTCAGCAGCTTCCCAGATGCCATATAGTTTCTCGCACCAGTGAAAGATACAATCTTTTTTGCCAAAGTTTTGACACATTTTGTTTTACGCCGCCATTCAAAGGTGACTAATGATGCAAAAAGGTAGGCAGAGAATAACATAAAAATAGCTTGAAATGTTGTGATTGCAGCAAAGGAATGTGTAATGTTCACGATTTCAGTTCTTTCTGAACCATTTCCATCTTCAGCTTTATGATTTGATAAATCCGTGGATTTGTTGGCAGGTGATGTCAAAAAGGTTCCCGCTACAGTTTCGCTATTATTGTTATCAACTTTCATTGTAAAATAATTAAATAACTGTAAAAGGAAGAAAAATAAAGAAATTAGCAAAATACTAACTTCTTGGAAATAGGCAGCAACATTTTGAGCATATCGTCTTAATATTTAAGTGATTGTACCTTTAAAGCTATATCTATATTGCCACTGCTTGGAAAATATTTCTATTTTGTTTTCAAAACAGTAACAATAATGTACACAGTATTACATTTCGACCTTGATAACATGAAATAATTTACGGTATTTAAAAACAGTCCCATCAAATTTGTATTTAGATCAAGTATCAATTCCAACTTTCTCTATAAGAAAACGTTTTTTTGTGTGTGATTTTTTATATGTTTCTCTGTACAACAACTAACTGTTAACTTTTTCTCAAATTTTGATTTGGCAAAAGTAGTACGCTCGTTCACTAATTCTACATTTACATTCCTAAACCAAGTCAACTTCTTCCAACTCATTTCATATGAATTTCATTATAAACATTTTTTTAAAAACTATTCTTCTCTAATAAAACAGAAATGTTTTGAATTCCACTTCACGTATTTGAATCTAAATTTTCTCACCATCATCAACTTGTCATTATTAGTAGACATCGTGATTAAAGTGAATTTTTATAGGCAAAATGACATATCTATAAAATCAAATTATAAGGCGCCCGACAGAACGTTGGTTTATACTATAAAGCCATGGGACTGGCAGGTCAATTGATTACATCATTTCCTCAATAAATCGCCCTAAAAGCTGAGGGTCTAGTTCTATTTTAGCTGAATTAGCCAATTGAACTCAAATACAAGACTTTCCTAAAACTCACGCCACGACTTTTCTGTTGACTCCCTAAAGTTAAAATTGGTTAAAAATTACATATATCATAGTTTTTCAAAAATATTCACCTGGCAAAAAAAATTCTTTCAAATATATACTTAGAACATTTTTCTTTAATTCAACTCCGACTGACATCATGAGTGAATTAATATTATTCTTCTCTTTAAACCTTTTGTCTATAAATTTCAAAAAAGTCACGAGGTAATGAAGTATGACTCAAATATCAAACTTCACATATAAATAATGTTCCACGCCCCAGAACTATTCAATATAAGATAGTAATTATACTGTCTAAAACTTTGTACAGTTTCTGAAATACTGCGGTAATTGTGTATACCCATATTTCAATGTCCAATAAAACACTAATACTACTCGGCATAAAAATAATGGACCGGAAATCCTTCTTAGCGAATATATTTTGCCAAATTTATTTATTTTCTCATTATTCGCTATCAATTTTATTATATTTAAAAATATGGTAAAAGCAAAGATAATCATGCCAAATTTAATACTACATATCCTCAGTTTATCGCATCCTTTTGTTTGACCAGTCTACGTTTTATCACAATAATTTTTGTGAAACTCGTGTTAGACTAACATAGAAATCTTTTCTCAGATATAAGTTGACGTCAATTACACGTACGTTTCTCATTGTTATCAACGATTAGCAAATATTTAAACTGATAGGCATAGAAAAACTTTTCTTCTGATACGCTATGAATGAAACTTTGGTTACACTTCATGAAAAATATTAGTAACGTTTTTGGAATTTTGTAGAAGCTAGAGGAAGCATATCAACCACAGCCCATGTGTCAGTGTTAATTTGATCAATCATGTTTCTTTCTTAGAACGGTGTTTTGCCCCTCTACTTCAATTTTATTCTCCTGAATCTCACAACATAATGCTTAATGCTTAATCTAATTATTGCCCTAAGGTTTCATTCTAACTTTTAGCATGCCATAAACTATTACATATTTACCCAAATAAACTATGCAAAGGCCAGACTCTCATTTATTCATTCCAAAGTAATTGAAAGCATGCCGAGATGGTAAATATGAAGAAAGACATATCTTGCTGCAAATAGATCTATATACTTTGCTTTCATGTTTTTTAAAAAATGCGACATTTAAGTTGCGACACCACATAACCGCTGCTATTGGCTTTTTATGTCTCGCTGAACGATTGAATATTCTACACATGTTCGGCCAGCTATAATTTTGTACAGTGTTCAAAAAAATGTTATTTAATTGCGGAATTTGCTTTTTCTGTGGAAACCCACTGGGGAATTAATTTCGATTTTCACTTTTCATTTGGCGTTTGTTAAATGTAGAAAAATAAATAAAAAGGGACGACAAATTTTGGGAATTCACTTCTTGCAGGACGCACAAATCAATACATTAATCACAACCGAAAACATTATTATAAGATAATAAATACAGATACCAGATGAGCTATTTCAATCTTGCAGTTGCTAGAAACGAGATTGTACGTTGTAAACATGATTTTTCTCACATTTAGTTCCCACAGATGCCAAATGTAATTATCGGTGTCAGTTCACCTTCATTTTGAAATCTCATGCGAATTGCTTAAATCAAGTTACACTGAAGTAGAAGGATGAGAATTGGAGACGAACTTGGATCTTGGTTGTTTCTAGTAAATGGAATTTTTCTTTAAAAAATCCAACCCTCATGCTCAACGGAACAGAGTAAGTTGATCTCTGGAGTTTGAATATAATTATTTATTCCTTTACTGGGCTTTGCATAATAGCATAAACTGGCCACGTCGGGTACTAAATTAATATTTCGAAAATTCAATGCAAAAACAGCTCTGAGGAAGACAATTATCTACACCGCAAATTTCGTTTTGCCATGTCTCTCGTTGATCATTTTTCGGTTTTAGTAAGAATTCATATACAACCACATTAATGAAGCACACCCACCAGATACGGGCCATATGTGGTTGGTAATAAAAAAAATGATGCACTGATTAAGATTTTGATCATATACAATAAAAGCAAAAAGTACTCACTAGAAGTCAAATCGGGAAGTTATATTTACAATTTGTTTGTCTCATACGTCAAGAAGTGTCTGAGAATTTTTGTATCACAAAAATATACATTTCCGATATGATCAATTCAAACCTCAAAGTATTGCAAAAATGAAAAATAAAATGTTTACGTAAGTATTTGTATACAATTTGTAATGATACTAATGTATGTCAGGTTTTTATGATATCCCTTATTGTTTGCTTATCGGCAACTAGTTTAAATCACGGATGTTGTTCTTGTACTACTTACTAGACAGAGACAAATACCGTATATCGGATTGATTTCTCAACATTTAGCATGAGTATTTCATGTTGTCTAACATTTATACATCGGAAAGAAATAAACTGAACATACTACACGCATGATGATGATCATAATCTAGTGATTATGATATTTATTTATGAGTATATGTAAAATGATTTCATATTACGATTCATCCAACATTTGTTACAAAAATGTACATATGTTCTAAGTAGCCGATCAAATTGCCTGCTATAAAGAAATCTATTGTGCAAACATCTAAATTATACAATTATTCAATGATAATTTCAGAGAACTTCCTCGAGATTTTAAGTTCTGAAACGTTTAATTTCAATTCTGGTGCTAGTAAGTCTCTCAAAAATCGATTGACCATAGATATATTTCAATATCCGTATACTTATCTGAACAATTCAATATTATAAAATTTTGGCTCATACTTTTTTCCATTTAAAATATTCTAAATTAATTTTATAGACAGCAAAATCATAATATCTGTAATATCAAAAAGTTTTTGGCAAATTTTACTGGCACTGATTATCTGTGCTCATGAAATGCGGCTTTATTTTGGCTCAAGTTAAATTCTCTAAACATCCCTACACGTTCAATGTCATTTTCAAGTTTGTATGTACAAACCTGAACACGTTTCATACCAAAATTAAAATATATATTACATTTTCAAATACATAACCACAAGCAACGGATCGTACAATAATTACAGTTGGGCGAAGTTGGCAAAAACATCTGTTAAGCCATTCTGGGTTCATTCAACCCGTGTTGAAATTGAATTAAAGTACTTAGGAATTTTAAAAGCTGTAAAGTCAACTAGCTGGAGTATTACATTCGGACGAAGAGATCTTTGCAGCAAACAGGTATATTTTAGATTCACATTCCACAAAAACCGTCTGTTTATTTCAAAAACAAGATTACATCATGAAATTTGTTTAAACAATGCACAGAAGAGTTCTAACAGTAACATTAGTGATATGTGAGTGACAAGCAACCAGTTCTAAAAGCCATTTTTCATTTTTACAATGAGACAGCAAAAAATATTGCTTGGCATCAGCAACTCAAGTCGATGAAGTCAAATTTCATTGGGTTCCAAATCATCTCTTGGTCAATTCCTGGTTATAACATTACTCAGACCGACAGATCAATGAACCAAACCAAAGTGGTCGCATAACTGCCATATTTTGTAGTGCATTTGAAATAATTTATCATACATACATGACAAGGCGAAACGATATATCTTAATCAAAGTAAGTCAACTAATCACCATAAAACATATACAATCAAACATTTTAACAAGAAGACGTGATTTTTGTCCAGTTTGGAATAAAACTTTGTCATTGCGAAACGCAACAACACGGATGATTGATTAATAGAATTTATTATGTTATCTCATTGCGCAATTCGTTGAACTTTCTGTGAAATGTGAATAAAACATGGAAACATCATCCTAAATAATCACAAAAAATCTAAAAAAAAATATATGCTTCAAGTTAATTGATATGGATGAACTCAGTTACGACTAAGAGTAATTTTAAATATGTTTCTCGAAGTAATTTATGAGAAGTTTCATCTTCACCTATGATTCCCATATTCGAGTACTAAAATTCCCTGCTCATAATTTTAAACTTACAACCTTACAACACCAGCCTTACAACAGTCTTTCACAGAACAATACCCTATATAAAGCGTATAATGTGGTACACTTTGCCCGACTTTCTCTCGTCATTTTCTTACGTCGCTCGAGCGCAAGTGGGTACTTGAAACTGTCAACTTGAACCAATATAATTTATCAATAGTTTGTTAATTTTGTTTCCAGGTTAACATTTTTTGTTGTTACTATATACTAATACACTTTACTTTGTCAACTAACATCTAGAA